CAGTATCATTAAAGTTAAATGAATTGCAGGCATTAAGTAAAAAAAATTATTTACAGTACACATGCTTAATTATAGTATAAAATTTGTTGGAAAGCAACAGAAGAAATGGTCTCAAAAGAAGCTTTAGTATTGTAGATCCACAGACTACTCTTCTACATTAATGAGGGAAAAAAATTTATGAGAGCCAATACTGCAACAGTCTTTTTATAGCTATCAGAATTAATTTCATAAGTGAAGAATGAAATTTTATAAAGAAGAATTAATTTTACATCTAAAAAAATTGATGAATTATATATAAATACATATTTATAATGGAGAATTAATTTTATATTTAAAAAATTTGCATATTGCAAATTGATACATCATCAAAAAATTATCTTAATTGAGCACAAATCTTGAGGCAAAATCATGTTGGAAACTTCCAACATTAAATTTGGTGTCATCCGAACTCCGATTTCAGCAAACTCATAGTCGAACTGAGCGTCTCAGAAATATAAATCCAACGACACCAAATTCGACTCAATTTGAGCATAAATGTGTCTAAATTAAGGACCTGAATCACTATTGCAATGTTCAAACAACAATTCGGATTACCAAACAACAATTTGGATTACCAAACAGTTTCCAAACATGATATCCTTATATTCTAATTGAGCGGCTTGACGAGACGAATCCAACAAGCTTAAGAGCATGGAATTATGACATTATTGAGACCTTCAAATGGCTAGCGAACAATCCATGATCAAGGGATTCAACATCGGTCATTCGGTCGTCCATCCAAACCACTCTCTATTTATACTTGATCTTCCTTTTATTTACGGGTCATGTCACTCTAAGAAATCTATAAATAGAGCCCCCCTTTCTCTTGAAAGAGGGACCCAAGCCAGAGAGCAAGAGAGAGATTAGAGATTGCTCTTGCCCCCTAGATTCTCTTCAACTACCTAATGGTCGAACTTCTGTCAGACCAACACCTTGAGACTCGAACTTCTATCAAACCCCCACCTGAGACTCGGACTTCTACCGGACCAACACCTGACGGTCGTACTTATGCCGGACCACCACCTGATGGTCGAACTTCTACCGGACCACCACCTGAGGCCTGAGCTTCTGTCGGACCACCACCTAAGACCCGGGCTTCTGCCATACCATCACATGAGGCCCAGTCTTCTGCCAGGCCACCACCTAACGCCAAGACTTCTATCGGACTTATACCTGGACATACTACAGTCTTTTCGACCTCCAACGCCTGTTAACTACGGCCCTTCCGACCTCCATTGCCTGCAGGCAACTGTCTTTATGGCCCATGCTTCCTATCGACTATGGTCCTTCTGACCTTTGTCACCTACTACGGTCCTTCCAACCTCCATCACCAAGCAGCGTTCTTTCTAACCCATATCTCATGTCGACTACTATCCTTCGACCTACATTGCCAGGCAATAATCTTTCTGACCCCTATTTCCTGTCAAGTACAATCTTTTTGACCTCCGTCGCCAGCCGACAACGATCCTTACGACCAAACAAACACGTCAGCAATGACTCTTCCAATTTCCACCATATAATGCCATTTGTATGATGTATATTTGCTACATCAAACTATGGACTTCCCCCCAAAGAAGGGCCTCACTTGTAATCGATTGTAAATACTAGTGGATCATTTCAAATTGGGTTAGGTCCCAAAATTTTTAACCCATTTTAAGGGGTTTCCATGTAAAAACTCTGGGGTCTCTTATGAATGCTACACTCTCTCTTTTATCTGTTTGCGTTTTGGATCTTCATCCAATGCTAAGACGTTAAGCTTTATATTTCTCTACCGTCGTGACTACTCCAAGACACAACACAAATAATTAATTTTTCAACCAAATTTTTTGAAGGAACAGAATAATAACTGAAATGAGTAAATATCTTAAGTGGAGTTTTTGTTTCATCTTCGTATATTGCTTACGTGGGTTTTTGTTTCAATCTGGTAAATGTCTTAGAATTTTTTTTCTTCGATTGTTATTTACTTATGGTCGCATTTTAATAAGATTTGTTGATCTAATGATTTTGTTTAAAATAGCTATTGGTTAGGCTATATAAGCTAATCAGCTAATGCTCGTTGGTAGATAATTTCTAGTTCTTGAAAACTTTAACTTTTTAATTTGGCTGAAATTTTTTTACATTCTCTTATTTAAATTAATTTTATTTCTATGTTTTTTAATTTCTAGATAAAAAATTGCAGGTATTAATTCGACTTATGGATACATCATCAAAAATCGGCTTGATCGAGCACAAATCTCAAGGAATATCCAATTTGGAAATTTTCAAAACTATATTTGAGATAATCCTAACTTTTATTTAAGCAATCTTATAGTCAAACTAAACTTCATCAATTCATTAGAAGATAGGGAAGCTTGCCAGCAAAAGCAAAAAATATATTCAATAAAACTTTATAATTATTATTTTCATGTACTTGCTTGATGCTACCTAAATTATCATGGTGTCTTGTGAAAAAACAAGAATATTAAGTAGCAGAGAACTGTATCTTTCTCCATGTGAAGTTCTTTGGACTTCATGCAACTTTCACATGATTACTTGAACGGGGGGATGAGAGATCCTTTAGATTAATTGCTTGAATGGGGAGGATGGCAGATTCTTTATTTGCAGCCGGATTGCTTGAATGGGGGGATGAAAGATCCTTTTGATTGCTTGAATGGGGGGATGACAAATCCGGACCCTACAAGCTAACATTATTCCTTTTTGTTTTCTTTAAATGGCAGCCGGCTTGCCTTGAGAGCACAAGCTTTTGCAAGGTGTGCGGAACACAAAGTGAGAGTTGAGAAATAGACAAGGGAAGTGAAGTTTCTGTCATCTTTAAGGTTAGTTCTGAAGAATTTTAAAATGTGTTGATTTTTTTAATATGCTGTTTGAATTTTTTTGTTGTGAGTACTAAGTGTTTCTGAAGGAAAGTATTAATGTGTTTTGTTTAAGTAAGAATTATATTAAATATCTATGAGTTAATATTACGAAAATTAGTGTCTATGAATGTTAACTATTTGTGAATTTCGATAATTAGTTTTAATATGTTAATGTTTGTGAAGAAAAATAACAACAAAATTATGGAGAAAAAATTAATTAATTGCGCATATACATTATAAAGTGTAACTTTATTTACATTATATTTAATATTTTTTATGTTAACATAATAAATTGGAAAAAAAATTAAAACTGCAGAGAATGTATTAGAGAAAAAAAATTTAGAAATATGTTTTTAAGAAAACAATTTTAGAGAAAATGAAATTTTAAAATAAGAAATTGAGAAAATTCAAAAACTTAATATTTGCAAAACTAAATGCAAGAAGAGAGAGAGAGAGAGAGAGGCTTAGAGGGAGAAAATAGGTAGATTTTAAATATTAAAACTTTCATATATTTAATGAAATTTGAATTAACTTTCAGATATATTTAATATTATGTAAAAATCATTATATTTAATATAAAATATTATTATGTGAAAATTAATATTTAATATTATGTTTAACTTATTAACTTTCGTATATTAATTTGAAGTTATAAATTAATTTTAAGTTAAATTTTGATAATATTTAAATGTATATTAATTAATAAAATAATTTTTAAGTTATTTTTATATATTAAGTTAATTAAATACATCACTTAAAAAAAATATAATAGACACAACTCTCCTTGGCCTATTGGTTGAGAGCTAAGGCTTCCAACTAAGAGGTCTAAGGTTCGAGTCTCTGTGTATGCGTTGTGTGTGTGAGTTTGCCTTAAATGGCCTAAATGTCCAAAAAAAAAAAATATAATAGTTAGAATATTCACCATGTTAAATTTTTTAGTATCTTAAATTAATTTTATTAAATATTTAAAATATAATGAATTACATTAATTTTGTCTCACATTACTTGGAGGTTTTAACCGAAAACAGAATGAGCTTTTGCTATTATGATGGAAAACACCAAAAAAACAAAAAAAAAACAGAAAAAGCAATTACTATCAAATATCTTATTTAAATTATCATTTTTTCTAAAAATTTCTTCTTAAAAGTATATTTAAGTGATTTAATTTACATTTACAGAAAAAAAAATCAAATAGAGGTAAATAAAAGTTACAGTTATAAATGAGTATGTGCAAAAAACGCAAGATGCGGTTCGGTCAGCTTTGGGAAAAAAATTCTGTTTTAAGCAAAAAAATGCAAAGCATAAGAGGTTTGTATCAGATTTAATGTAGAATTTAAGAAAAGAAATTTGATAGTGCGTTTTGCACAAATTGTGACTTAGAATTATTTTCACAAAAACATTTTATGTAAAGATTAATTGCGCTTTGAATAGAAAACGTGAATCAGGTATGCATTTTCTTCTCAAAATGCTAACATACTTTGCATTTTTTCCTTAAAAACAATTTTATTTTTTTCGCAAAGCACACCCGACCTCTTTTCGCAAAGCTGTTTTACGTGTATGTTCCTTTTAAAATTTTCTTTTAATCGTGATCCTTCTCCTAATTTAATCTTTAATAATGATTTTTTTAGAGTAATAAATATTTCTGAAGGAAAGTATTAATATGTTTTGTTTATTTATGAATTATGTTAAATATCTATGAATGAGGAAGCAAACAAAATGAAGAACAATTTAGTCTCATGATTAAAAATATGCAAATATGCATATCTAAATATTAAACTGAATATTTCATTTGAATAAGAACAATTTAGTCTCATGATTAAAAATATTCAATCTTGAAGCTTCAAGGCATCCCAAAAATTAGACTTTCTATAACGATTTTTTAATAAATAAAACATTTTTATTTAAAAAAAGTTTTATATTTAAAGACTGATTTAAAAAAATTAGTTAACTAATAATTATTCGGCAGCTTAGACTTTATTTGACACTGCTTTTTTACTATTTTTAAAAATAATTTTTCAATACAAGAATTTTTTTAAACGAATTTCTTTTTTCACAAAAAAGTAATAGGATTCGAGCCTGCCTTGGGTGAGAGGGAGGAATACACTTGCTTCCTTCCTTCCTTCATCCCGATTTCCCTTATCTAAACCAACAGCAGACAATCTAATCTGCATCTCTTCCAATCTCCTTTTTTTTTTCTTACTGTTCAGTTGTCCTGCTCTACATTGATCGTCGTTACCATGGCGGAAATGTTTCTTGATCCAATTATGGAGAAGCTCATCAACGCTGGCTTGCGTTACCTGAAGGATCAATTCAGATGGAAGAGACGCACGAAGGAGAACCTGGAAAAGCTGAAAGAGATTCTCCCCAGAATAAAAGCTGTCGTCCACTTTGCTTCCAGCCAAGAGCAGATCACAGAACAAAATCCGGCTCTTAACGAATGGCTATGGCAGCTACGAGATGCTATTGATGATGCAGATGACGTGTTGGATGAGCTGGAGTACATGGAACTAGAAAAACAGGTGACCAAAAACAAGAAGCTGAGAAGGGTGCGTTCCATCATGAAATCCATGAAAAAAAGACTTGTCAAAATTATCAAACGTGCTCTCAAAATTGATCCCAACTTGAAGCGACTGGAGGAGGCTGTGCAGAACCTTCATAAAGTTTCAACAACTGGTGTTGATACTTTCCTTCATCTTGTAAAAGACGCAAAGCAGGAGCTTCAGAAGCAGCAACTTAAGCAGTACAGAGCGCGTGAAACGGGATCCTCGCCTAAAAATGATCTCATCGGTCGAGGCAAGGAGAAGGAGCTTGTTATGGAGTGGCTGAGGAATCCATCAAATGAGCCTCGGGGAACTGATTTGTACAGAAACATTACTCTTCTATCTATAGTGGGCCATGGTGGTATGGGGAAGACAACTCTATTGCAACATGTTTATAAAGATGAAATTACAAAAGAATTTGATCTTAAAATGTGGGTTTGTGTTTCCAACAACTTTGATGTGAAAAAAGTCGTTGAAGATATGTTGGAATCTCTGAAGAAGGAGAGGCCTCGTTTGGAGACACTTGAGGCACTTCAAGGGCGTCTCGAGGAGGAGGTGATGTCCAAAAAGTTCTTACTTGTGCTGGATGATATTTGGGAGGAGGATGAGGAGAAAGATAAAAGCAAATGGGAGAATGTGCTCGCCCCTCTAGCTTCTGGGGGTTTTGGTAGTAAGATTCTGGTAACAACTCGAACGGACTCAATTGCACTGATGTTTGCAAAGGTAATTAAAAAGAAGAAAGAAATAGTTAAATTAGAGGGCCTAGAGGAAGATGAGTGTTTGCAGCTCCTCAACTCTCATGCATTTGCTGGTGTAGAGAACCGCCCTGATGATCATAAAAAATTAAGAGCCATTTCTGGAGAGATAGTTAAAAAGCTTTTAAGATCCCCATTGACAGCTAAAGTCATTGGTGGTGTTCTGAATGACAACTTGAATGAAGGGCATTGGATGACAGTTCTTGAAAGCAATTTATTGGATCAAAATTCTATCCATTCCATCTTAAGACTGAGCTATATAGTTCTCCCAAATCATTTACAAAATTGTTTTGCATTTTGTTGTATGTTCCCAGAAGATCATGAGTTTGATAAAGATGATTTAGTCCGAATGTGGATTGCATTGGGTTTCATTCAGCCGTCTCAAGAAATGACTATGGAGGATATCGGAGGAAGGTATTTTGATGTTTTAGTAAAAAAAACTTTATTTGACAAGGTCGATGATAACTACTACACTGGATATTACTACAAGATGCATGATTTAATACATGAGTCAGCATCTAAATTTTTTGCACATGTATGCAGTAAACTTGTGGATGATGAAGAGTTATCTTTCAAAATTCCTGAGACTCTTCGACACTTGTCTGTTCAAACTACAAATCCAAACTTCTTAAGAAAGATTGAGAAGTTTAAACATTTGCGTTCTCTTTTCTTGTTTTGTGAAGATTCTAATCAGGATATTTGCAATGCACTGATTAAAATGCTCAAAGCATCGCGAAGCCTGCGCTTATTATACTTACTGCGTCCAGAGCACTTGGAAATAATATCTGAGGAGATTGGAAATTTGATACATCTTCGATACTTAAAGATTGATGGTTATGATTGTACTATGCTGCCAAGATCTCTAAGTAATCTCTATCACTTGCAATACATAATCTGTGATGATCTACATAGTGCTGATTTTTTACCAAGTGACATTAATAACCTTTCTAACTTACGTTACGTGAAATTCTTCGGTGATTATATTTCATCGATATGTGGGATTGGGAAGCTAAAGTATCTTACAGAACTGGATAACTTTGTTGTTAGAGATGTGAGTGGTTATAGAATTGGGGAGCTAGAGAATATGAATGATCTTCGCATTTTAGGAATCTACAACCTTGAAAATGTTAAGGATGCGGAGGAGGCTTGTAGTGTCAAATTATGTGCCAAGAGCAGGCTCACAGATTTAACCTTAGGGTGGGGGTGGGATGACACTGATTTGTGGAACATCTATTTATGTGAGAAAGTGCTCGACAACCTTCAGCCACCAAAATGTCTAAGGGTTCTGTGGATAAATAGATACATGGGTGCAAGGCCTGCTCTATGGATGAACAACGTCAGTCTTACCTCCAATCTAGAGCAAATCATATTGAAATATTGCAGTAATTGGGAAACTCTTCCACCTTTTGGGCAACTTCCCTTCCTCAAGACACTGACACTTTACAACATGCCGAAAGTAAAATGGCTCCAAAGTAAATATAATGGGAATGATAAATACCGTACCTTTCCATTGCTAAAGGAGTTATCTATTTACGAATTAGAAGCATTTGAGGTTTGGTTTGAGGCAGGAGTAGCTGCTGAAGATGGATGTTTGTTTCCTTGCTTAATTCAACTGGACCTCTTTGACGTTCCTATGCTTCGGGAATTACCGAAGCTTCCTCCCTCTTTGGAAAGTCTAGAAATTCGGAAATGTCACCCAGAGTTATATGAGCGCTATCGAGAGGATGGAGGCTCCGATCGGCACAAGATTGCTCACATTCCGAATATCCATATTTCAACCGGATATTAGGTCCAACTACTATATTGATAGATAAGCAAACTTGTTTCTTTCTTCTTTATCTTATTTGTTTTATATATATATGAAATGTGAAGAATGCATAATATTTCAGCATGACCCAGCTGTTTGTATCACTTGATCGATGTACTGTTATGTATCATTTGATGGCCTATTTGTATATAAATTTATTCTTCTTTTAATATTTCATTATATATGTCATTAAATTCTAAATTTTAATCCTTTACCAGTTACAACTAAAATCTATATAGTAAAACAAATTAAACTCTTCGATTTTTTTTCTTATTGATAACTTTTCCTTCTTGAGAAATTTTAAATTTCTAATTTGGCCTAAATTTTTTATATTTTATCTTATTTAAATTAATTATATTGCTAATTTTTCAATTCCTAAACAAAAAAATTTGCAGCTATTAATTTGACTATTGAAGGTTATTATTAAAAATGAATATTTTATTTATAATATAAGATATTAAATTATCAGTTGTTAAAATTTGAGCTTAATTGATTATTATCACTTATAAAAATTTCCTTTTTTATGAGTTATTTAAAACTTTTGAAATTTAATGTTCTTTTACTAAATTGAGTAAATCGAATAAATAACAAATAAATAGAATAAGAGCAAATAAGATTAATAAATTAAATTATCAATAACAAATAAGAATAAACTGAAGATCAATGATTATTATCACAAGAACAAATAAATCGAATAAGAACATGCTATTCACAAACACTTTCGAACTTGGGCCAAACTCTAAGGAATACAATTTAAAAAGAGCCAAACACGGGAACAATTATTACGTCCTCCGACCGGACGTTCCTCAATGTCCGGTCGGAGGCCAAATCGCATCAAAAAACGAGAAATATCGAGCAAATACCGAGCAATACCAAACAATAACGAGGAATACTATCACGTGAAGATCCAATACCGAGTTATACCGAGCAATACCGAGTTATACAAAAGTTGTACCGAGTTTTTCCTAGAAAAATTCGGTACAACTCGGTATTGCTCGGTATAGCTCGGTATTGGGTCTTCACGTGATTGTATTCCTCGTTATTATCAAATATTACCTAGCAATGCCGAGCAAATACCGAGTTTTTTAGTAGGATTTTGCCTCCGACCGGATGTTCCTCTACGTCCTTTCACAGGATCAACACGGACATGCAACGAGCTCACTCAAAATATGCTCATTTACTATTAGAGCCCTTTGAACCCTTTTTTTTTTAGGAAGGAAAACAGAAAGAAAAGAAAAATCATCTAAAAGATACAATCACAATAAAACAGATTAAATAATCCCAAAAGAGGGCTCCGTGAAGGCCGAGACTCCCAGCATCCTCGAAGCCGCGCAAGGACCATCCAATTGGGTGAGACACCAAAGGTTGCCATAAGATAGAAAACGAGGACACGAGCCCCAGCCACATCATAGCCCCGCAACCTCCAATCCACACAAAATGGACAGATGAGCAATCCGATCAAAAGAAAGGAACAATCAAAATTGAAACCGGATTATCTTCTTCTACCGCCTCTACCCCAAAATTTCCCACGAGAAGCAATAGCAAGAGGTCTATCACGAACCAATTTAAACTCGTTGCGAGGATCCAAACCACCGCAAAAATCTGAATATGACTCAGAATCAGATTCATACTCAGACGAACAGTGCAACCAATCACCATGGGACCATACATCCAATCCAGAAGTACCACCCACCTGGTTCATTAGAGTTTTGGGAGCCATTAAGTTCACTGGAATATTAACCAAATTTTGAGAATTGACCAACATGTCTTGCACATCCGAATTTACCACCCATCCACCCGCCTCACTTGGAACCCCGTTTAAAGCACAATTCTGTAACTGATCATAATCCTCCAAAACACCCAAAACAGGCGAATCAACATTAACCACCCCACCAGACTCACTCAACCTCGCGGCAGAAACAGACGCAACATTAACAGGAGAAGAAACCAAAATCTCACTAACTTTCGGCACCAGAACAACAGCCGGAATGCCATCAATCACAGCACCGGACAAAACATCAGAATTAACACCATACAATTGAACAGAATCGCCCTTAGCAACAGGGGAAACAGACGGTAAATCAACAGAGGGTAAAACGACGGTTACAATCTCAATGTTAGCATTCTCACATCCCACAACATTCTCACTGGAAATGAGATTGTTACTAGGAGAGCAAATCGGATATGGTTCATCACAAATAGTTAAAACCGCCGGAACAGAAGGAGCAACAACATTACCAGCTACATTTAAGCTATCAACAACAGGAACAGTCTGAGCTCCCGATCTCATTTCCGATTTTAGAATACCCCAAAGAAGAACAGTGCATACAATAATCCGGGAAATCTTCAAAAACCACAGATTGAATATAACCTGAATTTTCCGGCCCAACCCAAATTTTATCAGGAAATTTTTTGGACACATCAATTTCCACCAAAACTCTCGCAACTGAAGGACGGGAACCAGTAGAAGTAGCGTTATCAGTTTTTAAAGGATTTCCAAAAATCCTTCCCAAGCCATGGAGAATTTGCGAAGCAAACATATGAGGCCTAAGATTTGGAAAAGAAATCCATATGGGAACAACAAGTGATTTGATTTCCACATCTAAAGTAGGAGACCACTTAATCAATTTCATATAACAATTGTTCACGAAATAGGATCTATGAGCGAATACCCTACAATAATCCAAATCATTGAAAAGTTTAATCAAGACATTCCACTGATTAAGAACAGTGACAGAAACATCCCCATTTAGTTTAAGATTAAAGAAAAAATTCCTAATAGCATCCAAAGAGGGACGACGGCCAGGAAATTTTTCGACAAGGGCAAACTCAAACGGGGCAGCTAAGGATTTGATTTCCATCTCCGAAATCCACAAATAAATTTAATAAAAATTAGCATAATTTATTAAATATTATTTAAATTGTTGGATAAATTTAAGTAATAAAAAAGTTTAAATCTTCCAATCCAGCTATATATATATATATATATATATATCATCCTCTTGATCGGGCATAAATCTCGAGACAAAATCATGTTGGAAACTTTCAAAATTAAATTTGGGACCATATGAACTTCGATTTCAGCTAACTTTAGTCAGACTGAACGTCTCAAAAATACAAACCCAACGACACCATATTCAACTCAATCCAAGCCAAAATGGGTCCAAATCGAACTTGAAGCATCGTTGGAAAGTTCAAACCACAAATTTGATGACCAAATGACTTTTAAATGTGACATGCTTATAGTCGAATTGAGCGGCTCAATGAGACGAATCCAACAAACCTAAGATTGTCATATTCTGATATTATTAATCTTTGAAATGACCAGTAAACAATCCATTAGCAGGGGATCAATATCGACTATCCATTAAAACCACTCTCAGCACATCCTTGATCTCCCTTCTATTTATTGGCTATGTCACTCTAAACAAACTATAAATAGACCCCTCTTTCCTCATGGAAATAGTGAAGGAGGATGTGGGGCCAAGCAATGAAGAGAAGGAAATGAGAAAAACTAGAGTTTTCTTGCCTAAAAGGGCTAGTGGATTGGGGCTTCCTTCTATCAATGCTATTCGGTTTGCCTATAATTGCTTTGTTATATCCTGGATGTATAACTCTCTATCTCCTCTCGCTACCTGGTTGTCTCACAGGTATTGCTCTCCTTGGAAACCTGCTTCTTCTATGGCATCCTCTATGTGGAAATCTATATGTGCTACTGCTATTAATGCGTAAGGGAGTTTTGTCTTCAAAGTGAATGCTAATTCCCACATCCCGCTGATTTGGGATCATTGGTGTCATGGGTCCTGCATATCTGAACTCCCTCTTAGTTCCTCGATTATTAATGCTTTCACCCATGATTTTCCTCTTTCAGTTATTATGGATCCTAATGGTTGGAAACTTCCCATGGCTACTCAAGACTCCATTTCACTCATAACGTATGTTCCCATTAGCTTTGATGCTGATTCGTTGTTATGGAATAATGGGAGGACTGGTAGCTTTAGTGATTTTCTGCAGGAATTTTATTCTAATGATAGAGAGGTGGCTTGGTATAAAATTGTCTGGCACAAACATGCTGCAACAATGGCTGGCTGAGCTTGGTTGGTGGCCTTAAAACTTCTGATGAGTTGATTAAAAGGAATATTTCTGTTGACCCTTTATGCTGCCTTTGCTTTGCTAAACCTGAGAGTTCTTCTCACCTATTTTTTGAATGTGATTACACTTAATCTGTCATTACTGACCTTATTCCTGCCTTAAAATGCTTTCTTTTGCGCCCAAACTTATACCAAATTGCTAACCTTTTTGCTGATGAGAATGTTACCCTGCTGGGTAAGGCCTCTTTCTATCCGCTATTGCTTTGGTCTTCTGTCTATCACTTGTGGAGGGAAAGGAATGCTAGAAAATTTGGCAACAAGTATTGTAGCAAAGCCACTATTTGCATTATTATTACTAAGGCTATTTCTCTTAAAATCTCTGCTTGGAAGAATGGGGAAAGATTAAAACATTTGCTCAATGGCTCTTAGTTTCTTGTTGGATGCTTTGGATGTCCTGATGGTTTTTAATGCCTCTTTGGCATGGTGGATGCCTCTATGCCTTTCGGTTGCTGTTAGTTTGGTTTATTGGATGCTTTTCTGTCATATTTGTTCATGTTGACATGGTTTATTTTTTATGATCCTGAGGATGGAAGCTCTGGGTTTAAACGGTTTTTTGCCTATGGGATATGCTGCTTTCGAATTGATGATGCCGAACATGCTCTCGTTTATAAGGATGGGATTTTTTTGTCATGGACGATGATGTTATTCGTCCCAACTCCCTTTGGATGGTCTTCGAGCAACCAAAGGTGCCAATACCATCTGATTAAAGCTGCTCAATTATCCTTATTCCTGAGTCTTGGGATGTTTTTCTTTATGGCTTCATTTTTCTTGCTTTTCAAATCCTGATGTAATTTTGTGAGGGCACCTTTGTGGCTGCTGCTTTTTGTGGAG